GCAGCCTTGCAGGGAGTTAAGGAAGCGCAGCCTTTTTTTTCGGGACGTCCAAGGCGAGATCGACGCCTGGGCTGCTTCGCAAGCCCACGCGTGGAATTGTGCCATCTACTTTGCTTCGTTTGTGGGAGGGGCAGTGCCTCCACAAGGCCGCCCCCAGGCAGCGGGGAGGTCCAGCCACACCAGTTTCAGCCAGGTAAGTACGATATTTTTCCAGGCAGGGGGGGATGTCCACCAGCAGAGGGCTGATTTGGCAGAAGCCAACCAGGAGTTAAGGAAGCGCAGCCTTTTTCGGGACTCCAAGGCGAGATCGACGCCTGGGCTGCTTCGCAAGCCCACGCGTGGAATTGTGGCTGGGGCTTCGTTTGTGGGAGGGGCAGTCCTCCACAAGGCCGCCCCCAGCGGTAGGTCCACCACACCATTTCAGCCAGGTAAGTACGATATTTTTCCAGGCAGGGGGATGTCCAACCAGCAGAGGGCTGATTTGGCAAGGCAGCCTTGCAGGGAGTTGAGCTTCGTTTGTGCTCCGTGAACTTGTCACAGCTCGGTGCCAATCGGGAAGAGCCTCGCCACAGTTGCAGCTTGCAGGGTCCCAGGAAGCCTGGGGGAGGACAAGCTGTTGGCGGTTCCTAAGCAATGTGTAATGCGGACTTCGCTTTAGCAATGCTATCGATACTCAGGAATCGCGCAACTAATGCTTCAAAGCCGCAGCTTCCTTTTGGGCGCCACTGTCCTTTCCAAACGTTTCTAAGTGTTTGGTCGGCTGAAGTCGGCTGATAATATGCATCAGTAGGTCTGAATGGTCACAATGGAAATGGAGTGAGTCATAATCAGAGCCTTTAAAAAAGTGCGAACACATATGCGTGATGTTTGCAGTTTAATTAAAGCTCTTCCTCCGGCTGGCCCGGAAACGGGAGACCCATGTAGAGGACCCCTCCTGTCCCACACCCTCCACCCCACTCCACTCCACTCCACTCCACTCCGTCCACTCCACTCCACTCCACTCCACTCCACTCCACTCCACTCCACTCCACTCCACTCACTGCACTCCACTCCACTCCACTCCACTCCACTCCTCCACTCCACTCCACTCCACTCCACTCCACTCCACTCCACTCCACTCCACTCCACTCCACTCCACTCCCACTTCACTCCGATCCACTCACAGAAGAGTCAATGGGTCGGCGGACATG